GGGGTCCTGCTGAGGCCTCTGGAACAAAGCTGCATGTGCCAGACAGATGGAATCTACTTCAGAAGCCTGGGATGTTAACTGATTTTTATATGCAATTGGCATTATTTGAATGCATGCTGTCAAATGCACATTTATTTATTTATTGAGAGATTTTTCCTACAGGGTGTGTGCACTTGCCAGAGAGAAAGCAAGAAATCACCCCCTGGGGGGATGGCCATGCAGCAATCCCTTCTCCTCCATTCTCCTCTAGTGATCTTAAACACACATGCACAAGCACCCAGCATGAGTTATAAGTCACCTGGTCTGGGACTCAAACCGCAGTCAACTATCTGAGAGTCCAGTGACATAACCATTATGCCATCTGCTGGCCCCTGTCAAATGGACTTTTAAATCACTTTTCCTTTCAGTACAAAGAGAGGCTAGTTATTTTCTAACCTTCTGGAAATTGCAGTAATATCAATAACTCTCTCAGCTTTCATCCTTGAGCTTAATCAGAAACATGCTCAAAATACTTGTGGTCTCTGTTTGTTTGTTCTTAATTAAATGAATTAGCACCATCCCCCTTTTAAGAAGGATTTGGTTCTTCTTAAATAATAGCGGGAAAGTATGGATCAGCATTCTCTGGCTGGGTCTTACCAAGAAACCACAGGTGGTCGTAGGACTTAGAAAGGCTCTGCCACACCTGAATCACCCTTCGAGGCAAAAGCAGTAGAGTCCACCACTAAGTGCATTGTTTCTCAGTCCCACAGGTAAGACCCTGATGTATACACTCACACCGTCAAAGCAATTCTAATATTTTCCATACAGAAACTGTGAAGGGATTTGCTAGTGGACTAAAGAGAGGCAGGCTGTATCTTAACGGCCACTGCACCCATCTCTGAAATTACCTTAGTTTAAAATGTTCACCTTAACATTCCAAGGTGGGAAGATTCTCTGGAAAGGGGAGCGGGCTTTATTCCTGAGCTAGTCATAAGCAAATGACGGGACATTTTCACTCCTTCTCTCTTCCTTTTTAGCATGCAACTGCAACAGGGAAGGTACCCAGAAATCCGTCTGTGACCCAGACACAGGCATGTGTCACTGTCGGGAGGGTGTCAGTGGCCAGCAGTGTGATCGCTGCACCCGAGGTCACAGCCAGGAATTCCCTACTTGCCCTCGATGTCACTTCTGCTTTGATCAATGGGACCACACCATTTCTTCCCTCTCCAAAGCGGTGCAAGGGTTAATTAGGCTGATCGCTAACATGGAAGATAAAAGAGAGACCCTGCCTGTCTGTGAGACTGACTTCAAAGGCCTCGGAGAGACCGTGTCTGAAATCGAAAGGATTTTGAAACATCCTGTTTTCTCATCTGGGGAACTCTTAAAAGTCAAGGATTATCATGATTCAGTTAGGTAAGACCCGTGCTCAAGTAATAAATAGTCAGGTTCCTGATTTACCTTAACCGTGGAGCCTAACATCCCCAGCCTTCCATTAGAAATGTACCCATGTTGACTTAAGAGAACCGATCATCATTCAGGAAACAGCCAGGTTAGTAATCACGTTGCCTGCCCCTTTCTCAACTAGTTAGGGTTATATGTGACTTTTTCTAATGCTATTGACTATTAAAAAAAAAAAAGAAAGAAAGAAAGAAAAAGAAAAAGACAGTTGTTGAGAGGTTAATTAGGAAGCCCAAACCCAGCAGAGCCAAAAGCTATGAAATCAGAAGCACAGTAGTCTCTAACACAAGTCATGTTTTCAAATGATGCATTCAGTAAAAATGAGCCAAGTCTTCCCAAATTTTTCAGTTTTTTAGTAGATTATACATTCATATAAACTCTTTTTTTATAATTATTTTATTTAATTTTATTTATTTTAATTGGACCAGAAAGGGACAGCGTGGGAGAGAGAGAGAAAAAGTGAGAAAGCAAGCTGCCAGGTCCGGGACTGGAACCGCAGTTGGCCATGTCAGAGTCCAGCATCCCCAACCACCGCACCACCTGCCGGCCCCCATGTAAACTCTTATAACAAGTATGGTAATTGCTTCAAAATGCAAGATCACTTTTACTACATTTTACCAAATACTTTTTATCGTTTATTAACCATTCTTAAGATTGTGTTGGTTACTTAGGGCCAGAGGTCAGCAAACTTCAGCCCACAGATCAAATGCAATACAGCGCTTGTTTTTGAAAAGGAAGTTTTACTGGAACACACCATGCCTATTTATGTCCACATCTTCTGTGGCTGCCCTTGCTCTCCGCTAGTGGAGCTGAGTAGTTATGACAGAGACTCTGACTTCCGAGGCAGTTTGCCAGACTACACTGGGCAAAACAGGGTAACTGTTGCTACCTTCATACAAACATTCAGTCTACTAAGAAACCCCCAAAGGTGATTAGATAGCAAAATATCTTCTCACCCCAATCAAAGTGCCTGAATTAAGGAATTGATGAAGCTGTAGAGTTCAATATCACAACAGAAAGGTAAATATAAGGTCATTCATTATTAATAAACAAATGTCCCAGAAGTAAATGGCAATGGTTTAAAAATTACCCAGAGACGGGACTAGCAGTTGGCGTAATGGCTATTCACTGGACTCACATGTAGCTGACCATGGTTCAAGTCCCAGACCTGGTGGCTTAACTCATGCCAAGTGCATGTGCGTGCATGCCCAAGATCCCAAAAGGACAATGGAGAAGGAATTGTGGCATGGCCATATCTGCTGGGGGGTGATTTCTTACTTTCTGTCTCTCTGTCTCTTTCTGTCTTGCTGGAGAGCACACATGCCCTATAGCAAAAAATCTCAAATAAATAAATAAATAAATAAAAATTACACAGAGAAGAAGATGCAACCTACCTGGATAGTTTAGAGAAGACATCATAAACACAATACGAGGGCCCAGGGAGGCAACGTGGCCCAGTCAAGCAGGCAGGGGAGATCAGGAATATCCATTCCTTTAAAGATTCTTGCCCTACAGGATTTGGGGGTCTGTGTTCTCAGATCTCCCCACTTTCAAGATATATTAGATATCCTGATGTCCTCATTTTAAAATGTAGGCAACTGGGCCAGCCCCTTAACCTGTTGGTTAAAGGAGCCAGATCCCATATGGCCAACTGTGTGGTTCAATTCCTGGCCCCAGCAGCTTGAAAAACACACTGAGTACATGTGTATGTGTGTTCCTAATGCAGACAGGATAGAGCAATAGAGAAGGGATTATGGGATACCATGTCCCATCGAGGGAGTGCTTTCTCTTTCTCCTTTCTCTGTCTCTCTGGTGAATGCACACAACCTCTGACAAAAAGCTTTAAATTTTTTTAATCTAAAAGTTAAAAAATTAAAATACAAGCAGCTTGGGCCAACCAGTGGGATGGTGGTTGAGGCAGATAGATCCCACATTGGCTGACTTCCCTGTTTGAGTCCCAGACCCAGAGACTTGAAAAACATGCTGGCACGAGTGTATGAAAAAAGAAAAGAAAAGAAAAAAGAAAGAAAGATAAAACAAATTGCAGGCATCTAACTAGTCCAATAGTACTTGTAAGAAATGTTCTGTGTAGGCTCCAGATAGCACATCTGAGGATGAGCTTTGGCCATGGGCCATTGATTTGTTAGACATTAGGAAAATGTCAGACAAAGAAGCAACAAGAAAGCAAAATGAGCCAACATCTATTGTAGAGTGAATGTTCTGGATAAAGAGACTGCAGGAGCTCCCAGCCAAACCAAAGAGAAGTAAGAGAAGAGGAGTCTGAGCTCGATGTGAATGGGGATAAGCGATGGCTTCAGAGCTTCTTCAGTCAGAAGCCGTGATGCCTGTCCCCTCTTAGCCTACCTGCTGCCCAACCCAAACACTACCTCCTCTCAGAAGCCTTCCCTGACCACCTCAGAGAAAGCCTTCTGTTACCTTCTTATCTTCCCACCTCTCTGTACTTCTTTGCCATTGTCTTGCTATGTGTGGAATTCAAAAGAATTTGCACCGGGGCCTGCCTTCTGTATTGTATTTGACAGACCTGACCTGGTGTAGATATATAATAAATGTCTGCTGGATAATTATAAGTTAAAGGGGAGCCAGAAGACAAAAAAAAAAAAAAAAACTGTCATGAGCATCAATTCAGAAGTCAAGCCCCCTTGCTTAAAATCCAACTATCTGTGTGGCCTTGGGTAAATTATTTAACTTCTCCAAGCTTCAATTTCTTCATTGAAAGAGGTTCAGTTTCTTCATCTTCATCTTCATTCTAATTCATAGGGTTCTTGTGAGAATTACTAAAACAAACTACCTAATAGTGTCTGGCACATAGGTAAGCTTAGGGGGTAGCAATTACAGTAATAGTAATTAGTATTTTTATTATTGCTGCTATCATTATTAGCCCAAAGAAGTATAGTCCTGGTAATTGGGATCTGAAAGAAAAGGCCGCATCTTCAAAGAGTCGGAAAGTCTAGAAGGAATTAGGCAATGCCTTGCACTTATGCCAAGATAAATTCTTCCCATAAATTCTTATTGTAACCTCTCTCAATTGTACCCTTTGAGATTTGTGCCTAATTTCCTCATTATGAGGAATATATTCATTATTCACTTGAACCACAGTATAAGAAGTCTTCGAAAAATTTATGGAAATGTGTATTATGAAAAAACTATGTGTGGAATTCAAAAAATGTTGCACCAAAATAATCTCATGCTTTAAGTCTATTTTCCACAATCATTTTGAAGTCCTCTCATATGTTCTGAGTCCAGCTAAAGTAGGACAAAGGTGTGCCCTATCACAAAGGGAGGTGATGGGAAACAGTCACAGCCGGGGCTGTGCTTAGTAGCAAGGAAATCTTGACGTTCACGGAAATTACAAGTTCAGCTCCTGCAAAGAAGTAGCACTAAATAAAACTATTCTAAATGCCTGTTGAGAATTAAAAGTTAAGATCCCACAAAGAAGTGACACTAAATAAAACTGAGCTTAACTCAGACTTATTCTAAATGAAGTCCTGATTTTGTACTAGGCTGGGGATGGACTTTTGCTTTATCAGGTGTTAAAAGCTGAATGTAGACTGGCACTCTTGGGCTGGTATAAACGAACCATGTCTGAATACATGTTTTGAAGCCCAAAGCAGAGGAAGACAGAGATCATAAACTGTTGAAATGAAAAGATCAGAAAATCTTTATGCTATTAGACCCTGTTGACTGGTCATGTTTTAAGTGCATACTCTAATAGTCCAGAAGGCTGAATTAAGAGAAAAGTGATGAGCTATACACAGAATTACAAATTGTCAAATGAAAAGTTAGGGAGTAGGTGGGAATGTCTTCCAATCGAGGCTACCAAATAATGAAGGTAATTTTTTTTAGTTGCCATAGGGCATGTGTATTCACTAAAGAGAGAGAGAGAGGAGCCCTCAATGGGGCATAGTCATGTCTCAATCTCTTCTCCTCTGTCTCTCAGTCCTCTCAGAATTTGGGCCACACAGGTACATGCACTCTGCGTGTTTTTCAACCTGCTAGGGCCAGGATTCAAACTGTAGTTCCCTTAACTAATAGACCATGAGACCATACCAAGGAGGGTAAATTTTTGTGGCATGCTTTTTTCACCAATGTTTAAAATGTAATATAGGTTTAACAACACCCTTATTTCTCCAATAGAAAACAAATCATGCAGCTAAGTGAACAATCAAGGACAGTGTATGAATTCCAAGATCTGAAAGAAATGATAGTAAGAATGAGTAATGAAGCAGAACTCTTATTTGAAGAACTTCAGGAAGAAATTGATTTGCATTCCAGTGCTCTTAATGCAAGCATCGTGGGTAAGAGAAACAATGTACTTTGACTGATCTGGCATAAAGTTTGATTAATTCCATGGTGCATTCCATTAGTGAGTCATCCTGGGCCTACCACCACAGCACCTGAGTGCTTTAGGACCTGCAAACACACCCATTAAAGGTATTATTTGCACATGGATATTTCAATTTTTTAAACATTGCAGAACCTGGATAGTATTTTCTCAAAACAACAACAAAACAACAATATCTCATATTAGACAAATACTAATGCCCACAGTAATGTTCTAACGCCAAACTCATCTAAGGGGTTTTGAGTAATCAACAACTTAGAAAGTCTAATAATGGCCATTAGGAAGCGAGAGCATTTCGATTTTCAGTTGCCATAAATGGAAAAGGATAGGAGGCAACAGGAATGTAAGACAGTTCTCATAAGAACTTTATAGAGATTGGAGTCAGATGACATATTAGAAGCCTTAGTTCATATTGCATGGTTCTTTTTTTTTAATGAATTATTTATTTATTTTAATTCCATGTGTTATTATTATTATTATTATTTGACCAAGCAGAGATAGAGAGAGAGAAAGAGAAAGCGAAATAGCAAGCTGCCAGGTCTGGGACTTGAACTGTGGTCAGTCCTGTGGGAATTCAGTATCTTTATCCACCATGCCACCTGCCAGCCTCATATTGCATGATTCCTTTTTTATAATTTATTTATTTATTAATTGTAATTATTATTTATACATTCAATTGCTGTATATCATTTAGATTTTTAAGAGACTTTACCCAGCGTGACACACACGCATGGATCTTAAAACTGAATTTGAGCCATACCAAAGCCAAGATGAACTTGGAGGGGAAATGGAACTCGAATGTAAAACTTCAGTTTAGCCCAGCTCCTTTAATTAGATGACATCCCTGTCGTATCTGGAAACAGGCAGCTCTCACTACCAAGAGAAGCACCGCCGAGTTTACTCATATCTAAATTCAGTCTGATTGAGATATAGGGGAAAATGTATGTTTAACTCCATGTCAACACAAAACATTGGCTGCTTTCCCTATCCTATGTATATGCTTTGGTTTTTTTATGATCTTAAACAAAAGAGGAAGAAAAAACAATAATGAGAATGCCTAATTGCTCTAAGGGAATGTTCAAATTTAGTAAAATTAATTCTGGCAAATATCTATTCACGCCAAACAAAGAGTAAGGAATTTTACTTCAATTCCTAATCTGGAAAAAGACACCTACTGAAAGTATGCAAGATCTATCCAAGGTCATGTCAAGCCAGGTAGAAAGATGTCAAACTCCCCAATGTTAATCCTCTCAGATTTTCAGTCCAATGGCACCTACTGAGATGTTTCTCAATGCTTGACATTGTGCTGGGCAGTAGCAACATGGAGAGGAACAGAGCAGGTCCCTGCTCTTGAGTTATCCTGTCTAAAGGGTGAGACAAGAACATTAAAAACCTGAAAGAATGTTAAGGCTTCGAGCATCTTTGACCTCTTTCAGAAACACAATAGAAAGAACTGGATTCTTCCTGGGGTTTATTAGAATAGACCTTCAGAGGGTAGAGATAAGTTTGCCAGATAAATAAAAGCAGGAAATCATTACAGGCAATAGGAATATTTTTCATTATAAATATTAAACGTGATACATTAAAAGTATGGTTGTGCAGGGGCCAGGGAAGTTTAAAAGATAAGGTATTGTTATCTCACAGCTGGGTGATGGTTATGTAGGGAGTAAAGATCCAAACCCTGGACTTTTATCCCTAAATAATGGACTTAGGGCCAAATATACTATGATTTACATTAAAGCATGCTATTGTCTCATCAGAAAAGTCATGACACATTTTTGCATAGAAAAATACATTATGACTTTTCTGATGACCCAATATATTACTTTCATGAATTTGTATTTTGACAAAAATAAGGACTATGCAGAGAAGTACTTGAGAACATAGGCTCAGAGTCAAATTACCTGAGTTCAAATCCTGGCTTCATCTCTTCCTATCAATGAGACCTCAGGCAAATAACTTGCATCATCAGAGCTCAGATTCCTTCTTTGTGCAATGAAGATGATCATATTGATAGGCATTTCACACTGTCCTATAAAGATTAAGGAAGAAAATTGATGGGAAATATAGACAAATAGAAAGCACTCAATTAACCACTGTTACCGGCCTCAACTTTAGAGGTCAGCAAACTGCAGCCAGAGGCAAATCAGACCCTTAGCCTGTTTCTGTAAATAAATTTCATTAGAACACCATGTTATCTGTTTATCTACTTATTATCTGTGGCTGCCTTCACTCTCTGCAAGGCAGGGTTGAGTAGTTGTGACAGAAATGCTATGGCTAGTGAAGCCTAAAACATTTATTCTCTAACCTTTGCAGAAAAAGCTTGTCAATTCCTGCTCTACAGAGTTAAGTAAACTTAGCTGAGAGCCAGTTATGGTAGCACAGCAGTAATGGAAGGCTCCGGGATGCTGAAGCCACCAGGAAAGTCCTTGGCTCACACCCTGAGATGTCTCCGCACACACCAGCCACACGGGTGCCTATAATCCTGCCTGACTGAGGCTCAGAGCAGGTATCAGGATAGAGACCCTCTTCAGGGGTATCTTTCACTCTCTTTTTCCCTCTCTCTTTCTTCTTTCTCTCTTCTCATGAAATAAATTAATAAAATTTTAAAACTTAGTTGATTTGTCATATTAGAGCTTATATAACTGTAATTAATACCTTATATTTGTAGGATAATTTACAGAATTTTTCATATTATCATTTAATAAACACAAAAATAGGAAATTATCTGGTGATGGTAATGTATATGGGAATAGCTTTGACTGGATAATACAATGCATTCCTGCTGAAGCTGGGAAAATTCATTTTGTATGCTGTAAAGATGTGCAGTGATTGCATGTAAAAAAAAAGTTAAAAAGAAAAAAACCAGTATTTTTCATATTACCTTACTTCTCATGAATTACTATCAGTAATTTACAGTTAAAGAAGTGAAGTCTAAGAAATTAACTGATGTGCTCAAAGACATACTTAGGCAGTAAAGGATGAAGCCAGGTCTCAAACTCATGCCTGTGGATTTAAATGTCAATGTTCTGTATTAATTATATCCATGTTTCTGATACTAAATCTAACCTTTCCCCTTAAAATGCAAATTCAAGAAAGAAAATGTTGAACTATTGTAGTGATAGTTGAGATGACCAAGACAAGTAGCCAAAGTGTGGAATGATCATCTTGTTTTCTTTTTCTGTATTCTTTCTGAGAGAGGAAGAGAGAGCACCCTCCACAAGGTCTCAATGCCATGACCTACCCTCAGCTTCAGCCAGCCCTCGATCATGGGCACACACATGCTTTGGTGTACTTACGTGAACCCAGAGCATCCCACGTGGGTCAGCTTTGCAGAATATCACATTTTACCACTGCACCACTGTCTGTCCCCTGGAAAGATTATCTTGGTAATTGATAAAAAATTTCATTTGTTTTCACAAAATGTATCTTACCTCAACTTGTATTCATGTAGATTCCTCAGAAAACATCAAGAAGTATTATCAGATGTCATCGGCTGCTGAAAAGAACACTAATGAAATGAGTTTCATCATAAATAACTCTAAAAATACCAGGAATGACTTACTTACTATCTTAGATACGTTAACCTCAAGAGGAAACTTGTCATTGGCAAAATTAAAACAGATTAAGATACCAGCTATCCAAATATTGAATGAAAAGGTAAATATTCATGATGGCATAATACTAGTGTTGTGGTTTCTGTTTTGCCATATAAACCTTTGATTATATTTTCCTACATACATTTTATTTCTTTTATATGTTATAAGCATATAAAGTATATGATGTAAATATTTTATATGATATGTAAATAATAGAAATTTTATATTTTCTTTCTTTCTTTTTTTTTGGGGGGGAGAGGTTTTTGCTACAGAGTGCATGCACTCACCAGAAAGACAGAGACAGAGAGACAGAAAGTGAGAAATCACCCCCAGGGTCGGATGGCCACGCCACAATCCCTTCTCCTCTCGGGATTTTGGGCACACACGCACACGCGCCCGGTGTGAGTTTAAGCCACAGGGTCCAAGACTTAAACCATGGTCGACTACATGGGAGTCCAGTGACATAGCCATTATGCTAACTGCTGGTCCCATTATATTTTACTTCTTAAGTCAAGGTTTGATCAAAATAAAAAAGCAAAGATATTACTTTTTATTATTTTGTATTATGTATTACTAATATTTCCAAAATGGTACAGATCACAAACATTTGTTGCTCTTGCCTTATTATAAACAGTAATTTCTATTTTAAAAGAGTGAAAATGCAATTAACATGGAAATTCTACAAATTTGCCTATTTTCCAGAAAAACTATGAATATAAAAATGACAGACATAGTCCTAATAACAAATAATTTAGATATCTATTCAGTTACCTAGGAAACATTTACTGGGCCACCCCAAAGTCCCATGTGTAAACAGCTGTTGAAGAAATGCAGGAAATGCGTTTATCTACTGAAGCAGTGCCTTACTTCCACCTGCCCTGGTGGCATTAGAAAACACTCTGTTGGGGCTAGCAGATGGCCTAGCGGTTATATTGCTGGACTCCCTCATGGCTGACTGCAGTTTGAGTCCCAGACCCAGTGTTAAACTCACTTCAGGTGTATGTACAAGCATGCCCAGAATCCCCAGAGAATGGAGAAGGGATTGCAGCTTGGCCATTCCCCCTGGGGGGTGATTTTTCTCTCTCTCGCTCTCTCTCAACACACCCTAAGCCAAAAACCTCCAAAAAAATAAAACATTCTACCAATGAATTTTTAACATAAATCATTCCTCCTATAAGGTGTGCGGAGAACCAGGGAACTTGCCATGTAGTCTCTCGCCCTGTGGTGGTGCTCTCTGCATGGACTCTGAGGGGACCAGGCAGTGTGGTGGTCCCAGCTGCCAGGGCTCCCTAACTCTCTCAAGCAATGCCTTCCAGAAAGCCCAGGAAGCAAAATCTGTGATTCATAATTTGGATAATCAGATTCAAGGATTTAAAAATCAGGTAATGTCTTTTATTGATTGTTTTAAAGATGCAGCAAATAAATAAATAAATAAATAAAGCAAACTGTTTTTTAAAAATGTCCACTACCATTTAGCTTCCAAGGAAGAGAGGGTAGATTCTAGCCATTAAGTATTCTTATGCCCAAAAATATGGGATAAAAATATTGATGAAGATGTATAGATTTAGACTAGATGTGAATATTGTATTGATATATCTTCTACTGTGTGTGTACACACATGTATTCACAGTGTGTGTGTGTGTGTGTGTGTGTATGAAGAGAAAGAGAAAGAGAGACAATAAAGAACTCAAATGCATTGTTGTGGGGCTGACAGGTGGCATGGTGGTTAAAGCACTGGACTCCTACATGGCTGACCATGGTTTGAGTCCTGGACCTGATAACTTGCTTTCTCACTTTCTCACTTTCTTTCTCCCTCTCTCTCTGGTAAGTGCATGTGCCCTAAAGCAAATTTCTTAAAAATAATCACTTTAATTTTTTAAAAATTATTATAGGTCATTATTATAGGTCATAGACTAGTATGGACTTTTTTTTTGTTTTTTTTTTTTTTGGTTTTTTTGGAGAGGTTTTCGCTATAGGGCGTGTGCGCTTGCCAGACAGACAGAGACAGAGAGACAGAAAGCGAGAAATCAGCCCCCGGGGGGATGGCCATGCCACAATCCCTTCTCCTCCATTCTCCTCTCGGGATCTTGGGCACACACACACATGCGCCCGGCGTGAGTTTTAAACCACCGGGTCCGGGACACGAACCACGGTCGATTACTTGGGAGTCCAGCAACATAGCCATTACGCTAACTGCTGGTCCCCTGGACTTCTTTTTTAACAACAAACACTACATAATAACATCTAGACTTCTAGCTTTAAAGGCTTAAAAAGCATAGCTCTCTCAAAGCAGAAACTTATTTGCAAGAATTTGAGTTATATTTGAAATTCTACTAAATATACCAAATTTAATACAAAATTTAATGTTAGGAAATAATAGGGATTCACCCTTATGACTAGAACTTCCTATTTTGATAGATATGATAAAACTGCTTTAACATTTAAGTACCTTATAATTGAATCTGTAATAATTGAAAATATTTCATTTACCTTTCTGGTCTTATTTATAAATGAGTATTGTTTTTAACTACCTAGTTTTCCTTAGTGTTTTTTTAAAGAATTATTTGTTATTATTATTATTATTTTATGTTATCTGCTATAGAGCACATGCACTCAGCAGGGAGAGACAGACAGAAAGAGAGAGGGGGGAAAGGGAGAAAGCAACTCAACATGTCCAGGACTCAAGCCTCAATCAGCCATGTGGGAGTCAAGCACCTTCACCACCACACCACCTGCTGGCCTTCCCGTATGCTTTTTTGAGATGCATTGTAGTCTCTGGTTTTAAAAACAAGATGATAGTGTGCTACCCAATTGGTTCCTTTTTTGACAAAACACATAGAGCCTCTGACAAAGAAGAAGCTTTTAAAGCGCTGACTTTTTTTTTTTTTAACCAATATTTGTTAAATATTACATCAGTCAGCATCCTGGTTGCAAGCAACAGAAGCCAGCTTCTGAATGAAAAGGAAAGCTTTCAAGGACATGGGGTCTCAGAATCAAGAGAAAACTCTTAGACGGCTAAGCTGGGAAATAGGATGAAGACCACAGGCAAGACACACACATGTACACACAAGTACTAACACACACACACGCACACACACACACACACACGTGCTCTACTACTTGTCCTCTTGATTCAGAGTTTAAGATCTGAGACAAGTGTCTGATTAGCCTAGCTGAAGAATATCCCTACACATACTAAGTGTTGAAAATATCTATTTACATGTCATCAGGACCAGCAGATGGCATAGTGGTTACATCGGTGGACTCCCACAGAGTAAAAGGTGTGGTTCGGGTCCCAGACCCAGTGACTTCCAAATCAAACCAGGCATGGGTTCCCAGGAAGAGAAGAAATTGCACTGTGACCATCCCCTCTGGGGAGGGGGGGGCGATTTCTCACTTTCCCTCTCACTATGTCTGTCTCACTGTTTCTTTCTCCCTGGAAATCACACGTGCCCTAAGGCAAAAAATACTCTAAAAAATAATAATACAATTTTTAAAAATAAAATAAATTAATACATAGTCATGAGGCTGCTGCATAGTTTTTCACTTAAATATGTCTTCACCTCTTTAACAAATATTTATCATGTGCCAGACAATGATCTAGAAGCTGAGAATACAGCAGAAACATAGTAAGAGCAAATTCTAGATTTACATCCCAGTGGTTAAAAACAGTCCTTCGTTGTAAATGTAGTTTCAAACTATCACATTGCCCCTACCCCAAAATAGAAAACTCACAAGAGTTAAGTGAGTTCTGATTGCCACTTGGTTTCATTATTACGTTAGTATTAGTACTAAGCAATCAGTGTTAAAAGATAACCCCTGAAGTGCATATCGGCAGAATCAGGTTTAATCAGGGTATAACTGGAGAACTGGAAAAGGATGAGAAAAGGGTTGTCATGTTGATAAAATGGTATGCCATTCTCCCCTTGATTAGAAGGGGAATGAGTGCCAGAAGAGATTGTGAGAGAATTCGCACACGTCAATTGTGACAGACGATGGATTGCAGAAAGATGTTTTAACAGTGAAGTAATTCAGGGAATCTCTTTCTTTCTGAATATGGTATCAACTAATCTACACTAAGATTTCATCTATAGCACTTGGTGCTTTCGTGCCTGAAGTATTTATGTTTAGAATTCGCATTTTACTGCTATCCATTCTTGCCCATTTTAAAGTTAAGAGAATTCTAGAGCATCAAGGATCAATGCTCAAAGAAATAATACACATTTATAATCAGGTGAACATTTCTTTTTTGTCTTATTGTTTGCTAATGACTATAATTTAAATTCTTTTTCACAAAATCTGTATGGCTCAAATTAATCAGGCTCCTTTTATGGAGAAATAAAGGAGATTTTCTTCCCTCTAATTATGTTTGATCCTAATTAGCCCTACTTCTGTCACTATTAATTTATTCAATAAAGCTTAACTTGTTGGCAATATCGTTCTATTGCTTTCTCCCTCTCACTCACTTGTTGGAATCCAGAAGAAGTCCATGACCTTTCTCAAATCACACAATTAAGGATTCGCACATCTAGCTTGCTGGCCTAATAGTCTCTATCATTTCTTATGAAGTGTGCAAAGTGTTTGGAATTTTATCTTTGTGTCTCACTCTCAGTTCAAGTTCATTTATTAAGAGGAGGAATGCTTTCTTGTTAGTTCTCAAAAGAAAGTACATTGCTTGAATTTAAGAAATGTTTAGAAGTATAACTATTTTAACTTAGGTGAAGGGACTTCAAAAAATTCGTGGACAATGGAATTAATGTACAAGTTTATTTTGGTGCAAAGAACTTTTGAAATCCGGGCATAGTTTTCTCATAATATGGGCTTTCCGTGAACTTTTTGGAGACTCCCCATATAAAATAAAAACATTGTCACTCTTTTAAGTATGATGACCAGGGCATGGTGGTTAAGGGCGTTGGACTCCCACATGGGTGACTACAGTTTGAGTCCCAGACCTGGCAGCTTGCTTTTTGCTTTCTCTCTCTCTCTCCCTCTCACTCTGTCCCTCTCTGGTAAATTAAAATAAATAAATAAATAAAGTTAAATAAAATAATTATTAAAAAAAAAAGTACAACGACCATAGCATGTATATAGTCCAAAGCAACTTCTGTAAAATTGTTGGTATTATAGCATACTAAAGTCTCATTAAAACAGAATTTGTATTCTAGATTTATATTGGAAAAAGTCATTAGTGCTAGGTCAATACCATTTTCAAATAATTTGGTCACTTACAATGTTTCAAAAGATGAATTTTTTGCTTAAGATTTTTTTCTTCTCCATACTTTAATAAAAAAATGAGTTACAACATAGAATATATAGGCATAAGATATAATATATTCTCATTTAAAAGTATGTATACATTACTAAAACCACAGGATTTATGGCTATATAGAAATACATCAGAATTACACCACAAGGAAGTTTCTGGAACTTACATAGAAAAGTTTTCAGTTTATATCACTTTAATTTGTGTGTGTGTGTGTGTGTGTGTGTGTGTTGTTGTTGTTGTTGTTTATTTTATTTTATTTATTTATTTTTATTATTATTTATACGTTAATGCACATAAGCTCTCCAGAGAGTCAGAGACAAAAAGTGAGAAACCACCCCCAGGGAGGATGGCCATGCCGCAATTCCTTCTCCATTCTCCTCTTGGGATCTTGGGCACGCACGCATGTGCCCTGACCGAGGTTTAAGCCACTGGGTCCAGGACTGGAATCATGGTCAACTACGTGGGAGCCCAGCAAAGCAACCATTATGCCATCTACTGGTTCCAATAAATTCATGTTATTAAGAAATAATGATAATGAAAAAAGATAATAATCACCTTATAAAGGAGTCCTTTACAATGATTTTATGGTTTAATGCTCTAGATTTCTATTTTATTTTTAGTGTCAGTTTTCTTTGATCTGGTTAAGTAATTAAACAACACAGAACATTATGTCTCTTCCTCATTGTTGCTCTTTATTCCCCCTTATTCCAGGTTAAAAATATGAGTAAACTAGCAGAAGTGTCCAAAAACAATACCTTGCAGCTAAGTGAGAAGCTGGGACATATGAGAAACCAAAGCAAAACTGGGGAAGAAAAAATAAATCATTTAATCAAAAAAGTGAAAAACTTCTTGCTAGGTAATTTTAAGATATGTATTATTTTTGCTACGTAATTTTAGCATATATATTAGGGTTATTTTTCTCCCTGCTTCAGGTTTATTTGTACAAACAGTACAGGTAGACAGCAGCCCCATGCCACCCAGGGGTCACCAGTTCCTCTGTCCTCATGTTGGCAGAGGTCTCCACACCAGAGCTTGTGTGGGGACTTGGGAGCCTGAGCTGGAGCCAGAACTGAAGCTGGAGCTGCAGCCAAGACACTTGGCAATATGGACATAAGCACATTTTTGAAGCTTGGGTGGGCGATGTAGGCAAGTTGACAGCTTGCGGCTGCTGCCCTGTAGGGTCCTGGGCTTAACCTCCTTGGACTTCACAAGGGCCTTGACAGCCTCAGCACCCGCACTCATGGCCTAGTGGTGGTGTTCGCATCTCCTTTAGGCCCTTCCTGTAGTGCTTCTTGGCAAGGTGCATATTCCTCAGGAACATGGGGTCCACCTTAGATTCATATCCTTATAATTGGGGGTTTCTTGATGTTATTTCTGTGCCATCTTTGGGATTGATTATGTGGGGGATGGCTCCTAGACTTAGCCATGCTGTGTGCTGTGGCTTCTGAAGTGCCTATAGGGAACCAGAAGAGAAAGAGGGAAGAGGACTCATTTTATTTCTTCTTTTTTTATATGTATACTCAAACATTATAACCAATTCCAAATTATATTCATTGGAAATGTCATGCCTAAATCAGAAAATGATGTGCCCCTTGGTTTTAAATGTCTTAATGAGAATAGTCTCAAAATATTAACCCTGTGCCAAAAATATGATGGCTCTCTGTAAGATTTTATTTTAGTAATAAATCTTAGAATTTAGTTAAAATTCTGAGAATGTGAACTTGGTTTTTAAAATTATTTAATTTTTTTACAAAAAGGAAAATTCAAATGATGGATCCATCAGATTCTTTAAATCAGGATTCAGTAATTTTCTTTGCTGACAGAAATGGTTTGATTTAAAGATACGACACATTTTGGTTAGTATATCAAATACCGTAGTGACATGGCATCTAAAAAATTGTGTTTTAACTATTATAGATTATTTTTCAAATCTTCCTTTGTTAAGTCCTAATGACTGACCAAAAGAAAGTATTTGATTCATTAGTCATTGAACCTTATTTTGGAAGAGATTTGTTTTAAACAACAGCTAACTAAAGATTAAAAATCACATACTGCAGCTGGAAACTGACCTGAAACCTCACGGATACAACAGTATATAAAATTAATCTTATGAGGATTTCTTTTTCCATAATCATTTCCCACATTCAATAATTGAACACTTTCCATATGAATTAATTGACAATTATGGCATCCATTACAATCTCTGCCACTACTTCATTAATTTTAGTATGTATGAGAACTCTGTGGCCAAGTATTTTTTTTCCTATTTCAATGTTTCTAGGAATTATATTAATAGCAAGTAGTCTCGATTTTTCAGATAGGAAAAAATTAGGCAGAAATGACCAAAATAATCAGTAAAAATGTTTGAGGGTGAAATTGGTCTACTGAACATTTTGCTTATTTTTTCACAAGCATATTATCAGTGATTTAGCTAGATCAATTGGTATTGACTAGACACAGACCCAGGAACTAGTTAGATTGAGGGACCCTATCCATTTCTACAATTCATTTCAGAAAACAAAAAACAAAACCCAAATTGACAGCCTAGTTATCTAAAAATAGTAGAATACGGTCATGATGAAATAAGGTCTATATATTCTGCTTTCTACTTGTTCACTGAGTCATAGAGCCTATCCCTTTATTATTTCTCATTGCTACTGAATAAATTCTAATAAAAATTTCACCTTAATTAATATGTTTCTAGGGACCAGCAGATGTAGTTGACCACAGTTCGAGTCCCAGACCCGGTGGCTTAAACTCACGCCAGGCTGGTGTGCATGCATGCCCAAGATCCTGAGAGGAGAATGGGAGAGAAGGGATTGTGGCATGGCCATTCCTCCTGGGGGGTGATTTCTTGCTTTCTGTCCCTCTGTCTCTCTCTGGTTTTTTTGGTGCTCACACATGCCCTATAGCAAAGAAATAATAAATAAATAAATAAATAAATACCTCTCCAAAAAAATAAATAATAATATTTCTAATAACTTATTCTGAGGAATTGGAAGAAAAACAAAAAAGACAAGCCCGTGTCCAGATTACTACAACTAAAGACATAGAAAGCTATTATTAAAACTAGGTACAGATGGGGTTGGCAGATGATGCAGCAGTAACAAGTTTCCTGTGTGACTGACCCACCTGGGAACGCTCTGGATTCTGATCAGGAGGCGCCCCTGGACATGCTGGACATGCGCATGCTCACTATCCAGGGCTCCCTGAGGCTGAGTGAATTGCAGTGTCAAGGCTCTGTTGGGGGTTGCTATCTGTCTCTTTCTTGTCTCTCTTGCTCATGAAAGAAATTTTAAAATAAACTTTTTAAAAAAGATTTTAAAAAAATACTAGACTTAGGGAAAAAACCTTTTTCATCCAAGAAACTTCTTTCTGCTCAGGGTTCCAAGATCTCTAGTGACCAGGAAGCTTTCATGCCTTATAGTGTTCTTCGCCCACCTATTGCTGCTTCTTTTTTCCTGTCTATAAAGTTCAAAGAAAATTATCATTACATTGGATAGACCTCATATAATCTGGCTCTTCTTTGACCATCTTAATATTTTTCTTGAAATTTGAACTTATTAACACATTAAGCAGTCACTTCTCCTGAAACTTTTATATATAAAAAAAAAAAAATTTTTTTTTTTTTGGAGAGGTTTTCGCTATAGGGTGCATGCACTCGCCAGACAGACAGAGAGAGAGACATAGAGACAGAAAGCGAGAAATCACCCCCCAGGGGGGATGGTCACACCACAATCCCTTCTCCTCTATTCTCCTCTCAGGATCTTGGGCATGCACGTACACGCACCCAGCGTGAGTTTTAAGCTACCGGGTCCGGGATGTGAACCGTGGTCGACTATGTGGGAGTCCAGCAACATAGCCATTACACTAACTGCTGGTTCCCTATATATAAACATTTGAATCTAGGAACCAGCAGATGGCATAATGGTTACATTGCTGGACTCCCACATGGCCAACTGTGGCTTAAGTTCTAAACCTCGCAGCTTGAAACACGCTGGGTGCGTATGCATGTGTGCCCAAAATCGCAAGAGAAAAATAAAGGAGAAGGGATTGTAGCATGGCCATCCCCCATGGGGGATGATTTCTCATTTTATGTCTCTACTGTCTCTGTCCCTCTGGGGAGCCCACGTGCCCTATAGCAAAAATCTCTAAAAATATTTGAATCTATAGGCTCATAATAAATGCCAATAAATATTTTAAGAATGAATAAATGATTGAATTAAATAATTTGCCACTAGAATTTTTACCATTAAAAAGTTACTATTTATTTAAAGAGCAAATAGGGAGTTGCATCAAGTATAGTTACCTAACTATATAGAAGAGTAAAACTTCCAAGCCTTTTTAATGTCAGGGAGAATCAGAATCCAGTCTTGTTGACTTCAAACAGATTGTTGACTTCCCTGCTGACTCATTCATTGTGCCTACATTTTAATGACATCTAAACAGTTGAATTGCTTTTGAATCTGTATTTATAATAAACAGTTGTTAGGAGGACATTTCATAGACCACACACAATGTTCCAAGTCCTTAGTTTTCATTTTTCCAACATGCACTTTAGCACGTCTTCAGCACTACCCAAGCAGCATTTCTTCTCAAGAGAAGGGAAGGTTGAGGATGAAGATTAACCCATGGAACATACACAATCTAGTTCCTGTATCTAGGAATTCATAACCATATGAAGGTGCATTTGACATAGAGTTCATCATGGTTATAGTTTTAGGCAATAGGTGTGTTAAGGGGATTCAATGACCTAATACCCACCTTTTTATTTAAGAAGAAAACGTGCCTCCAGAGGACATAGAGAAGGTTGCAAATCATGTGCTTGACATCCACCTACCCATAACATCACCAAATCTAACCCATCAACTTGACAAAATACAGAAACTTACGCAGCTCTGTGAGAACTATGGCGCAGATGAGAACAAGTTAAACAAGACAGCAGATGAAGCCCAAAAGCTTTTGGTGAAGGCCAAAGTAACAGAGTAAGTATAATATTAATAGTCTCCTTTTGCACTAACAGATTATCTGCTAAAAGACCACCTGATAAATAGTTGCCTAGGGAGCTATAACATTCAAATGAAATTACCTGCCAATAGTTCAGTGTCCAAACTGAGGAGTAAACTCTCTTTGGAGGTGGCCTGGGAAGCTGGGCAAGTGGAGGCAGTGTGGCGGGATACTTGCTTTGTGTTTTCTTAGACTCCAAATGCCTTTCCAGTGACCTGATACCTGTTTATACCTTTGCACAGATCAATAGATGCCACATGCTAATTATATGCCAATATCTCAACAGATGAATATTGGTGCATTTTTCCCTTCTGGACCTGTTTTTGCTATTGCTTTACTTCACTGTAATAAGCAGTATGTTGAAAACATATATGTTAAGAAGAGATGATGGAGAATAGAAAAAATGGACCCTTGTGCTCAGGAATCATGCAAGAGAAAAATGATATATATAGCATATGGGGTTAACCATTTATATCATTTTGCTCTTGCTTCCTTTTGCCCTGTTGACTCAGCCAAGCAAAAAAGAAGTCATCTTGATGTTTTATGAGCACAGGGTGCTGCAGGTCAGGGTAATAGGGTTGAGTGGCTAGTAGTAATATCAACAGCCACCAGCATTTTTGCATGCTCAACAGAAATGATGACCCGAGTCACCCTCACATCTGATGACACAAATGAAGTGTACTGACTCATCTGAAAGGCCAGTCTCTTCCAGGTTTAATATGTAAAGTCAGGAGTATTAAATAACTGCAGTACAATCACATGGCTATTAAAAATAATGTTGTTTAAAGATTTTTAATAACATGTAGAGATTCTTAGTTTAATGTAAATGCTTTTAGGAAGCATGTAACATATATATGAAAAAAGGATATAGATCATGAAAAGGAAAACATTTGTAAGACAGAAATGCCAGAATATGACAATATCTTAAAAAGTTAAGAAGAGCCAGCAAATGGTGTGGAGGTTAAGGTGCTGGATCTCTCATGGCCAACTGCATTGTTTGAGTCCTGGACCAGCTTAAAAATGACAGTGGGTGTGTGTGTATGTGCAAAATATCCTGAGAAAACTGGAGGAGAAGGGATTGCAGCATAACCATCTCCCTGGGGGTGATTTCTCACTTTCTCCCCTATCTCTGCCTCTCTCTCTGGTAAGCACAGATGTCCTATAGTTAAAACGAAACAAACAAACAAAAAAAGTGCAAGATTACTAGTAAAGTTTATTTTTTTCTTGATACTTTCTAAATTTGCTATCATAAGCAGTACGATGAAAACCTAAAGAAAACAGTAGAAATACATGGTGTGTTTCAGGGGGATAGAAGAACACTGGTGTCCAGGGAATGTTACTGAACTTAAATGGCGTGGGGAGGTAGGCAGCTGTTGTGAGGAGAGAGAGCTCTTGAAGTTCAGAAAGGGGAAAAGGAGATGTCCTCTGAGATTACAGGGTGGCTTGGGTGGGGAAGATGTTGAATATCCTTTATCCAAAATGCTTGGAACTGGAAGTGTTTTGGATTTCAAATTTTTTCAGAATATTTGTGTATACATAATAAGTTATCATGGGGATGGGACCCAAGTTTAAGAAAATACATTCATATTTCATATATAACTTATACATACAGTTGAAGGTAACTTTATAACATATTTTTGTATTGCAGTGTTTTGATTGTGACCCATCACAAGAGGTTTGTGTGGAATTTACCACTTGTGATTGTGACATTGTTAGTGCTCAAAAAGTTGCACATTTTGGATCATTTCACATTTTCAGATTAGAGCTGTTCAACCTGTATTTTGCAGTTTAGCTAATTCTGTTATGGGCAGAAACATTTCTAATGATACCTCTGCAAAGATCTAATATTCCAGTTAGTAGGTACATTCTTTTTAAGGTGGTTTTGAGCCCATAGGTCTAAGTATCTGGTAAATGCTGGCTTGAGGTGAACTCATTTCTGCAAAATAGACTGTATCACTTGGAATGCTTGTGATTTTAACCTCTGACAGGGCCCCTGAGTGGCTGGAATGTCAGTGAAGCTTAAATAACCCTGAATAAACAAGGCCCGAAAATGCAGGGCCTTTAGTCCTCTCTTTACTCTCTGTGGGGCCTCTCCACCCCGCCACCCCCTCTCTAACAGGATTTAGAGTGTTGCTTCCATGTGAGAAATTAGGAAACTGGAATTGGGCGATGATAGTTTTTATATGCAACAATTGACAGTTATATCCCCCAAGCTTCTTTGTTTATGATGAATTAAGAAGAAATAAGATCTCTTTCCTTAATTTCCATAGCTCGCAAAATCTGTATCTACTGGGTATGCATATGTGTGTGTGCATGTGTTTGTGTGTGTGTGTGTTTACCGGTATTTTAATATACATATTTCTCAAAATAAAAACTTTAGCATCTTGGCTTGCATAAGAGTAATTTAAATTTACTTTATAAATAATTCACTAAAATTTGTGGTTGAGTCACTCTCAAGGTGAAATAAATGAATAATTGTACATTTATCTAATCTGATATGTTAATTTCTTACCTCAGGAAAGCAGCAACGGTTCTATTAAATCTTGAAAAAATGTTGGACACATTGCAACAAACTCAAATAACTCAAGAACAGGCCAACTCTACCATCGCACAGCTGACCACCGAGATAACAAAAATAAAGAAGAATGTGCTGCAGGTATGTCTCTATTTTCTCTGAAACTAACCTGAAATCGATTTTGAGGGTGGAAACAGTACAGGAGCCTGTATGTATGCCAATGTCATGTCTGACTTACCCATTTGATGGGATTATTATGAGGACAGCATAAAATTCCATACTATTATGCTCTTAACTAATATCCCACATTAAAGTTAGCAGTATTATTACATTAATGGTGGCAGTATTATGCATTTAATTAATGTTCTGGAAAGCCCTCCCAAGCATCATATCATTTCATTGTGACCACTTCTGAGGGACAAGACAGATGCTTATAAATGTGAAAACTGAAATGTAGGGAAGTTAAGTGATTCCCCTAAGGTCATGCAACTAATGGGTTATAGTTTGAGGTCAGATTTTTCTTTTCTCTTTTTTTTGAGAGTTTTTGTTGTTGTTGTTGTTGTTATAGTGTGCGTGCACTCACCAGAGAGACAGAGAGCGAGAATTCACCCCCCAGGGAAGATGACCATGCCACAATCCCTTCTCCTCCACTCTCCTCTCGGGATCTCGAGCATGCACGCACGCACGCCTGGCGTGAGTTTAAGCCACCAGGTCTGGGACTCGAACCACGGTGGGCTACATGGGAGTCCAGTGACACAGCCATTATGCCAACTGCTGGTCCCAAGGCCAGACTTTTCTTCTGATACCAGGGAAAGACCTTTTAAAGCTCTCAAACAAACAAACAAACAAAAAGTTGGTTGTCATAGTGTTTTAGTTTAAAAAAAAATTGCATGAAATCTCATGAAAGTATCCTAAAACTAAAAGAATAACTCATCCAAAAGAATTTGTTCCAGTTAGAGTTCTGTGGAAGCAAGACCATGGTTTAACCCACATTACAATCCAAGGAGAGGAACCATTGTCATAGGCAGACAGAACAGAACTTAATCCCATAGTGTGTAGTCGCTTCCTCCAAAGCTCCATCCTCTGTCATGACCCCTTCCTACAGATTGCAAGTTACTCACTCTCTATTCAGCTGTGTTTTATAATATACTACATGCATCTTAAGAAGAAATGCAAAAATCAACAGAACAGGAGGTAGTACACCAGGGAAAGAAAGAGTTTGATAAGAAAGGTTTGTATGTAAGGAGAAGGTCTCCAGGTTTTCCTCTTTGAGACAGAACAGGAGGTAGTACACCAGGGAAAGAAAGAGTTTGATAAGAAAGGTTTGTATGTAAGGAGAAGGTCTCCAGGTTTTCCTCTTTGAGACAGAACAGGAGGTAGTACACCAGGGAAAGAAAGAGTTTGATAAGAAAGGTTTGTATGTAAGGAGAAGGTCTCCAGGTTTTCCTCTTTGAGACATATACTTTAGAACAGGGGTTGGCAAAACATGGCCATGGGCTTTGTTGCATGGCTGCTTTGGCACTACAGTGGCACAGAGTTTAATAGCTGCAACAGAGACTATATGGACCACCAGGTGTAAAATATTTACTAGCTGGCTCTTTCTAGAAAAAGACTCCTCTAGAAAAACTTCCACCCATGCCCTGGGGCACAGAAAAAGATGTCTGTTTCTAAAAATATAGTGGATCAAAACCCTAAGAGAACTTCCTAGTATATAAAAAATAAAAACAACTACGAATGTTACATAGGATATTAATTAATTTTTTTTTGGAGAGGTTTTTGCTATAGGGCATGTGTGCTCGCCAGACAGAGAGAGATAGAAAGCGGGAAATCACCCACCCTCCCCCCCAAGGGAGGAAGGCCACGCCGCAATCCCTTCTCCTCCATTCTCCTCTCGGGATCTTGGGCACGCACGCACACGCACCTGGCGTGAGTTTTAAGCCACCTGGTCTGGGATGCGAACCGCAATAGACGACATGGGAGTCCAGTGACATAGCCATTACACTAACTGCTGGTCCCCAGGATATTAAAATTTTTTAAACATGCTTCGCTGAATTAGTGAAAAACTAAAGACAACCTCAGAGGCCAAGAGCAGCAGGAAAGCATGAATCCAGAAATTTAATTAAGCACTACCTGACAGCAGGTGGAAGGCACCTGCCAATCATTAAACTCTAAAGTGCTAATGCATCGGGTTTAATGGTCACTACACACAAAAGACAGAAAACAAAACCCCTATAAGGAGGGAACAAGATCCTGGCAGAAAGCTGAGACCCCAAAAGGCAAACCTTCAGTGAAATGTTAAACTATGTCACACACACACAAACATACACACACACACACGTGCAATAAAGAAACTGGTTTCTGGGTGAAAGAGGAAAGTCTGCCCAGAGAATTGCTAACCACAAGCTGGCTCTCAAGTGAGTTTGGGGCTAGAATTCACACTACCTGGGGAGCCCTCAAAATTTAAGCTAAAAATGTCATTGAAAGTGGTCCTGGGTGAGTAGTGTACCCAGATGTCTGACAAAGGTGAACAAAAATTCATTCTAAAGAAAGACCTTAAAACCAAGCTTTTAAGAATTTCCCCCCTAAACACCTAAAGAAACAAATTGTCTTAAACAATTCATCAGAAACAACAAACAGGGTGGCATGGTGGCTAAGGGCGCTGGACTCCCACAAGGCCGACTGTGGTTCAAGTCCTGGACCTGGTGGCTTGCTTTCTCTTTCTCTCTCTCTTACTCTGTCCTTCTCTGGTCAAATAAAAATAAGTAAATAAACAAAGTTAAACAATTTTTTTTTTTAAAAAAGAGAGAGAATTTTTTAAAAAAAATAGAAAGAAAGGAACAACAAACAAACAGAATTAGAATGCAAGAGACTGTGCCTATTGTCATTATTCAACCTAGAATACAAAATAATAATGTTCCCTATGTTTGAAAAATCAAAGGTGTGAAAGTGTGACCAACAAATGAGACAAGAGATATGAATGGCCAATTAGATATAGAAAATATTTAAATAGATTTTTTTTCTTTTTTTGGTTTTTGCTACTGGGCACATGTGCTCGCCAGAAAGAAAGAGAGAGACAGAGAGACAGAAAGTGAGAAATCATCCCCCAGTGGGGATAGCCACATCGCAATCCCTTCTCCTCCATTCTCCTCTTGGGATCTTGGGCACACACACACACACACACGTGCCTCGCGTGAGTTTTAAGCCACCAGGTCTGGGACTCAAACCGCGGTCGTCTACATGGGAGTCCAGCAACATAGCCATTACCCTAATTGCTGGTCCCAACAGACTTCTCAATATGACAAATACAATCACCAAAATAAGAAAAAGTATAAAATGCCCATTGTTGTTTGTCAGGGGAAAATAATTAGAAGCCACTTGCACAAGGAGAATAAAAATAACTTATTGTGTATCCAAACATTGTAAAACTTTAAATTGGTAAAAGTAAATAAACTAGAACTACATAAATTGACTTAGATGTCCTATACAAGTCATTTTGAATTTAAAAAATCAAGTTGCAGAAATATACACCATGATATTATTTTTTGTATGAGGTTTATATATGGTTTAGATGAGGTTTAAACTTTTTAAACTATTATATATTGTTAGAAAAGCTAGATAGGATATAGTTAAAAAGCCTACAGAAATATTGGGTCATTGGAAAAGTCATGATGCATTTTTGCATAGAAAAACACATCATAACTTTTCTAATAACCCAATACATGGAATGACAAAGGTAGGATTCAGGTAGTGGTTGCCTTTGGAGAGACAGAGGAGACATGATGGGAAATGGCACCCTGAGGGCCTTGGCCCATTGTCAGTGAATCAATGCTTTCTTCTTCAACTGATGGGTAGATACCTGGATATTTGTCATATTTTTCTTTCAGACTTTTGTATGTCTGAAATATTTTAGCATAACTTTTTTTAATTGCCAGAGGACACATGCACTTGCCAAAGAGAAAGAAAAGGGAGGAAGTACTTCCCCAATGGGGTGTGACTACACCACAATCTCCTCACGTCCATTTCTCCATTCTCTCAGGATTTGGGCATGCGCACACAAGTGCCTGACATGTTTTTCAAACCTCTGAGGTGAGATTCGAACCTTGGTCAGTCACACGGAATCAAGCCTCCTTAGCCACTAAGCCACATAGCCAGCTCACACTTCTTTAAATAAATGCAACAGAAAAAAAAAAAAAAACAAAGACATTGTTTTCTTTATTTACACTCAAGCTTATTTATTTGAGGAGAAACTATATCATTTATTTTCTTGTTTCATCAAGAAGTTTTTCCTTTCTCAAATCAACTACAGGCTGAAAATCGAGCCAAGGAAATCAAGAATGAGTTAGACTTAGCAAAGCAACCATCAGTGCTGGAGGAAGGACTTTCACTGCTACAGACCAAGTTGCAAAGGAATCAAGACCAAGCCAACAGTGCAAAAGTTCAGGCTGAAGTCGCCCAGCGCCAGATTGGGAGTGTCGAAAAGGTCGTTAGTCTAACCATTGCTACCAAGAACAGTCAAACAGCTCCTCTTTGAAGAAAAATGCTCGAACCCCAGATCTTTGTGCCATTTCTCTGTGTTTCTCTCACTGTCGGTTCATGACTCAGTCATAGATGTTTGTGGGGATCTGGACATACGAAGGGTCTTCTGTAGTTGAAGGCTGTTTCTGTAGAAGGCAGAAGCTGTGGCCAAATCGTGTGCAAGTGTTTCCTCCCCGCGGCCCACCATCCTCTATTCTTTTTGCCATCCTGATCAGGGAGCTCACAAATCAAAATTTTTCTGAACTTTCAAATTCTCACCGTATGTGTCATGTGTCTATATTGTAAGGATTTGCCCTTTATCCTATTTCAATCACATGACATAACAAAGAAAACAGTAAGTGAAAGTCACCTGCCAAAGAGATCGAATTACACAAATCAGAGTGAGTTCATTAAATAGTTGGGGAAAGTGGCCCGTTCATTTCGGTTGTTGAAAGAACCTATCAACTCATTTTCTTAGCAAGAAATCTTAGGTTGATGCATTGATATAGAAGCTTAAATTTAAAAAAACTATTCTTTTTACAGTTGGTCTATTCTCTCGCTTTTAATTCCTGATGTCCTGGCTGGTTCCCATTCATTTGGGAGCTGAGGACATTTTCTGTAGCACAGTTGTGGTGAAAGGTGCCTCTGCTCACCTTTATCCCACTGCCATACTCTATTCCTAGCCCTGACTTTTACTTATCTACTTCTCCTTCTAGGCTGTTGACCACATCGGCAGACTCTAAAACTTTTCATTCTAATTCCAAGGGAGACTTCACACCAACACTTCTGCAATACTTCCCACCTTCCTGCCCTCCTCCCACATTTAGCTCTTATCTTCATGCTGATCAAATAATGTAACCTTGCTGCTTCTAAACTGTCACCTCTCACTCTGTCCTTTATCTTGCATGTACAACTGTTCAAGCCAACTCAACCAGAGATTTGTCAAGGACAAGATTAGGTCATTTCTGTCTTCTGGAGCTGCCACCTTGACATAGTGCAGGACAAACAATTGGTGCCTCACACACAGTTGCCTTACCATGCAATAAGATTGGCATTTTGCAACAAAGAAGTTTTTTTATATTTTTTTAATCGAAGGTGAGATTTTCTTTCACTTGAAAAAACTAAAGTGTAAATAAAAACCCTATTGGAAATGGAGTGACTGTCCCATATGGAGTAGATTATGGCTTTCTCAGTATTTATTTTGTAGACAGTATTAGGAGACTGATCATGCATCTGGACAAGCTTCATAACGATTTTCTGATGATGGGAATGTTACTCTGTTACAGGAATTTATTGAGCTGAAAAAACAGTATGCTATTCTTCAACATAAGACAAGTGCCACAGGATTAACCAAAGAAACATTAGGAAAAGTTAAACTGCTAAAAGATGCTGCTGAAAAACTGGCTGGAGATACAGAGGACAAGATAAGAAGAATAAAAGGTATTTATTCCTATACCCACCCCATTAATTTGATGGTATCACCGTACTATCACCATACTACTCTATCTTCCTGGCAGATTTTATACAATTTCAATTTTTTTAAAATTTTCTTTACTAGATGGCATGTACACTCTCCAGAGACAAAGGGAGAGAAAGAGGGAAAGTGAGGAGGCACCCTCCATGGAAAATGGCCACCCCACAATTCCTCCTCCTCTAATTCTCCTTTTGGGATTTGGGCAGTATATGCACACATGCCCAGCATGTCTTTCAAGCCACCAGGTCTGGGACTTGAACCGCATGGTCACCATGTGGGATTCAGCCTCCTTAATCACCACACCACTGGCTTGGCTCCCAATTTCAATGTATCATTAACACAATTTAACCACATATGAGCCCACAGAGAAAAGAGAAGTAGGAATCAGTCTTGTGTTTGGGGGACTGCAAAATAACAAGTGTCTTACATGAATTTCCATGGAAAAGCATTAATGAACATCCACCCCACATTAATCTGAACAAACAGATTTCCTTAAATCAGTTTGAAATGCCCTTTTCCTAACTCAGTGTTCTCAGCTGGGGGTAAGATGTCTGAAGACTTGTTTGTTACATTAGGGAGTGCTACTTGTATGTAGTAGGTAGAAGCCAGGGATGTTGCTAAAAATTCCACAAAATATGCTACAATACACAGCATAGTTCATAGTGCCAAGACTGAGAAACTCTCTTAACTAAAGCTGCTATTTTTCCTCTCATGCAAATAACTCTTTTGGGATCAGTATGATCTACACTGTCGAGCACTAGGTCATCTAGCATAGCTCTCTGAAAACCATCCAGAAGGAATCATACTTGAGACAAGGATTTTGGTCAAATGGAAATTTGGATGCACACAAAAGTGTAGTAACAGAATACGTACAATCAGAAAGTTAATCAGAACTTTTTTCATAATTGATATTCCTGATTTTTCTGGGCAGTTCCATGTCCTTAACTACCTCTAAACTATCAAGAAATGATGAGTGTGTAGGGTTGCTCTTGGTTTTATTTTATGTCTACCAAAACTGTCAGACTAAGTACTTTCTGGGGCCAGGTGGTGGTACAGTGGCAACACGGGTGGACCTGCTTGGGTTTGTATCCCAGGATGTCCCTGAGCATGCCAGGTGAATGCTTGTGTACCAGTGATCTGGGCCAGCTGAGACCAGAGTGGGTCATGGTGTGAAAATCCTGCTGGGGGTGCCTGTCTTTCTGTCTCTCTTTATCCCTCTCAGAAGAATTTTTTTTCCCATAGGGCATATGCTCTCGCCAGAGAGAGACAGAGAGAGGGAAAATGAAGAATCAACCCCCTATCCCAAGGGGATGGCCATGTCACAATTCCCTTCTCCTCCATTCTTCTCTCGGGGTTTTGGGCACACACACACATGCAACCAGCATGATTTTTCAAGCCACCAGGTCCAGGACTCAAACTGTGGTTGACCATGTGGGAGCCTAGCTCTTTAGTCACCATGCCATCTGCAGGCCCCATAAGTAAATTTAAAAAAAAAATTAATTATATTCCTTAGGAATATGCATAACTCTCAAAATATTTAAATAATCAAAACTCCTCACTTAAAAATGCTTATTTGTAATAAAATGAGTCTTTGGCTTTACAATCACTTATATCATCACTATGACATGAAAAAAATGAAAGTGCAAAGTTAGCTTGGTCCCAAATCAGGCAAAGTACATTCCAAACCATTAACATTAGCCATCTCTGGGGAGGCAGGAGAAGTGGAGAGGCGACCACTACTTTTTACATTTACAAAATTATTTTAAAATAGGTGGGTTTATGGGTACTTTTTAAAATTTTTTCATTATTTTTCTAATAATATTTAAAAGGAAATACCAGGAAAGATTTAGAAAGGCAGACAGATTTTTTTTAACCTTACATTCCACAGGCAATACTATGAAAATCCATTTGTTATTCCTAGAATTATTCCCATTCTATATTTTATGTCAGAATTCTAATTATTTCCACTTATCCCCACTGACTAAAACTTTTCTAGTTATTAAAATTATATTATAAAAGAAGTTTAATTAGAGGACTTCTCCTCTTTTCATTCTAAGGCTGTTTCGCAACTCAAAATAGAAAAACAAGCTAATAATTTGTCTATCTTTTTTTTTTTCATTTTTTTTGAGAGTTTTTTTGCTATAGGGCGCATGCACTCCCCAGACAGACAGAGAGAGACAGAGAGACAGAAAATGAGAAATCATCCCCCAGGGGGGTTGGCCACACTGCAGTCCCTTCTCCTCCATTCTCCTCCTGGGATCTTGGGCATGCACGCACACGTGCCTGGCATGAGTTTTAAGCCACTGGGTCCAGGACGCAAACCGCGGTCAACTACATGGGAGTCCAGCGACATAGCCATTACGCTAATTGCTGGTCCCTCTATCTTTTCGGCTTTACCTCTTGAGAAGCAGAAGAACCACAAGGGCCATCTTCCATTCTCATCAGGAAGGGGTGCCTATAGATCCTAGTAAAGAACCTTGGCAGCATCAGAGTCAAGGACGTGGAGAATGGACTCCAGCCTGCAGCCAAGAGCCCCTTCCCCCAGAACTTTATGTCAGTTAAGGTCCCAGCAAGAAACAGAAAACATACTTGAACATAGTTCTGGATAGTGGGTATATTGTTGAGTTCTCAGTTATCCATTCACTGTATAACAAACCACCCCAAAACTGAATAGCTTAAAGCAAAAACCATGCCTTATTTCCTGTGGGCTGTCTGGGTAGTTCTTCTGCAGTCTCCCCTGAGTTGATCAAGCACCTGCAGGCTGCTGGGTCAGCATGTAGCACTGCCAGGGGCTGACTTGGCTAAATTGTTGTGCTTTTTTTTTATACAGTTTTTATCCCAGACTGTTTATTGCATAGTTGTTTCAGGTCCCATGAGAATGAGAACAGAAGAGGTCCTTGAGGTCCTACTGCATCATTTCTTCTACTTCCTATTGGGTAATACAGCTCATAAAGCCAGCTCAAGCTCTGGGGTAAGGGTGGCAGGAGGAAGGTATATGGAGTCTACTGGATGGAAGGAACTTCAAAGTATGCATGAAGATTAAGGGAACCAATGGAGCGTATGGAGGTACTAGGTGACTGGCAGTAGTGAGAAGAAATAGTGTCCATAGGCCTGAAAGGCAGGAGAGTGGAAGTGTCCCAGAATCCCATAACACTGGGGCACTAGGGAAGAGGTCACTGTGCAAAAGCTGAAGTAAAGAGATGAAAGACCTGCCAGCACTCCGGTGCTGAGCGGGGACAGACACTGCTCACTCTTCCCACCCCCGATCCCTTGTCAGCACCATTAGCCAAATGTGAATGAAAACCAGAGGACAAGAGAGCCAGATGATGTCATCCAGGGAAGTTAGTTTTCCAGGACAGAGGACAAGGTGGAGAATGGATCTGGTGGGAGAAATGAAAGGGAACCTGCTCAGTCATGTTCACTTACCTCTTAGAAACACAGGGTCTTTTTTCCTTTTAGTCCAATATTGAATGTCCTTTTCAATCCCCCACTGACCTGTATTAGAAAGTTTCTAGTAACAGAACACTTGCCGTGTTCCACAGCAGCTCCTTATGCTTTGAACAGCTGTGACTACTGGAACGTTCTTCATATTCACATAAAAATCTTCCTTCATGGAGCCTTTACCCACTGGTTTTCATTTTATTTTTCTCAGGATTGCAGAAAACACATTTACTCTGCTTTCCTCAACTAGTCCTTCAAATAAATACTTAAAAACAGAGCACTACGGGGAACCAGCAGTTAGCATAATGGCTATGTCACTGGACTCCCACGTAGTCGACCACGGTTCAAGTCCCGGACCCAGTGGCTTAAAACTCAGGCGTGCACGTGCTCAAGATCCCGAGAGGAGAATGGAGGAGAAGGGATTGTGGCGTGACCATCCCCCCTGGGGGGGTGATTTCTCGCTTTCTGTCTCTATGTCTCTCTCTGTCTGTCTGGCAAGCGCACGTGCCCTACAGTGAAAAACCTCTCAAAACAAACAAACAAACAAACAAAAACAGAGCACTAGCTCACACCCTGAATCTTCTATGAAATATCACCAGTTAGGTCAACATTTGCTCGAAGGATGGTTTCCAATTTCCTCAGCAATCTGGCTCTTTTCTCTAAATACCTCCTAGTTTGACAGTTACTCCAGGCCATTCAATATGATCTTACCACATGCTGTGGGGCATTTGCCTTCCTTCTTTTAGAAGTTCTACTTAAGATCAGAGTCTCTTCAAAAGGCCACCTCACACTGTCAAGTGTTGCTCTTTGCACCTCTTCTATCCATTACTCTGTCGGCTCCTTGTTAAGGTTTACTAAAATTCCCAGAAATTCACTGCATGAAAAATGAATAAATGAAGGCATGGCTAAGTGGATAGAGGGATGGATAGATGGATGATGGATCAATGGATGGGTAAGAGTGAAGCAAGAAAGGCATCCCTTTGCTTTTACTCTTCAGAGACTTTAATATCAGCAAGGAAGGAAAATGAAGAGATGAAAATGGTGGCCCTTTTTTCCTGAAAGTTTGAAAAATCCTAAAGTGAAGAATACATACTTAAATATGAAGGTAAAATAATAGGGTGTGCACAGTCGCCTAGTAGTTAAGGGAACCTGATTCCACATGGTTAACAGGCTCAAATCCTCAGTCATGGCACTTTAAAAAAAACACTAGGGCATTCATGTCCATGCCAAAAATCAGGAGAAGGGATTGTGGCGTGACCATCCCCCCTGGGGGGGTGATTTCTCGCTTTCTGTCTCTATGTCTCTCTCTGTCTGTCTGGCAAGCGCACGTGCCCTACAGTGAAAAACCTCTCAAAACAAACAAACAAACAAACAAAAACAGAGCACTAGCTCACACCCTGAATCTTCTATGAAATATCACCAGTTAGGTCAACATTTGCTCGAAGGATGGTTTCCAATTTCCTCAGCAATCTGGCTCTTTTCTCTAAATACCTCCTAGTTTGACAGTTACTCCAGGCCATTCAATATGATCTTACCACATGCTGTGGGGCATTTGCCTTCCTTCTTTTAGAAGTTCTACTTAAGATCAGAGTCTCTTCAAAAGGCCACCTCACACTGTCAAGTGTTGCTCTTTGCACCTCTTCTATCCATTACTCTGTCGGCTCCTTGTTAAGGTTTACTAAAATTCCCAGAAATTCACTGCATGAAAAATGAATAAATGAAGGCATGGCTAAGTGGATAGAGGGATGGATAGATGGATGATGGATCAATGGATGGGTAAGAGTGAAGCAAGAAAGGCATCCCTTTGCTTTTACTCTTCAGAGACTTTAATATCAGCAAGGAAGGAAAATGAAGAGATGAAAATGGTGGCCCTTTTTTCCTGAAAGTTTGAAAAATCCTAAAGTGAAGAATACATACTTAAATATGAAGGTAAAATAATAGGGTGTGCACAGTCGCCTAGTAGTTAAGGGAACCTGATTCCACATGGTTAACAGGCTCAAATCCTCAGTCATGGCACTTTAAAAAAAACACTAGGGCATTCATGTCCATGCCAAAAATCCTGACAGAATGGAGAAATGGAGAAGGGATTGCAGTGTGATTACACCCCATTAAGGGATGCTTTCTCCCTCCCTCTCTCTCTCTGTCTGAGCACACACACCCTCTGGAAACAAGTAACAATAATGATAACAAACCTTTGTAAATATAACACTTCATAAATCCAGTAAAAGCTATTATCTATCTTTCATTTTCATAAATTCCAACCAGCTATAGACTTACACTGATGGATATCTTTAGATAATAAAAATGTTTCAACAAAAATACAAATTTGCTTTGATTTATGAGAAAACCTTGAGACGTCTGGTGAAAACAGATGTTTGATCCATTGAATCAAAACACAGAACTAAATCTTTCTTTAAGAAACACACAAATTCTGGTGTTTGGCATATCATGTGGATATCCAGGAAGAATCCGTCAAATGTAAATACATCATTTCTTTCATTTGCTTTTTTCAGATTTAGAAGAGAAGCTCCAAGATTTGAATCTAAGAAGACTAGCAAAGGCTGATCAACTGAAACAATTGGAAGATCAAGTCATCACCATTAAAAATGACATTGTTGAGCAAGAAAATAAATACGCTTCCTGCTATAGTTAGGCAAAATTAAAGTACAAACACTGGTGCCTTTGCTTCTGGCTTGTGCTGTGCAAACCCGCAGGGCTGAGCTGAACTTGCGAAAGACAAATGGTCGGAATATCTCTCTTTTGTCTCTGCTACAGATCTGCTCAGTGTGGCTGGAGTTGGAACTGGGCCAGGAAAATGCTACTTCAATGCTGCTTCATAGTAGAAAGGAAGAAGTAAAGAGATCATCTCTGGTTTCAGAAATCGCATCTCTTGCCTTCCCTTCTCTTTCATAAGGAACTGGTTACATGGGACAAATAAAACACTTAAATAAGTATTCTATGAATGATCATTTCAGTCAAAGGAACCAAAGTTTTCAATCAATATCTCCAATACTAAGAGGGAATAAATATGGATGGCATTTGCTTAATTGTTCTATATTTTATATTTATTTAGATTTGCTTTTATGTGTAACATTTATTCTCTTCTGAATGAAATGCATACAATTCAAAATGTAACTTGCTTTTACATGCATTTTCCCACACACTTTTTCTCTCGAACAGAGAATTCTGTTTTCTCCAAATAGCACTGGAACAATATTCAAAAAGATAAATATTGAACTGCTTTTCAAAATTTGTCTGCAGGCAGTTTACTGTAAAATCTGCTACTTATTTCAGAAAGACTAGCAATCGTGTTTATATTGTTTCGTATGAAAGATCAGATTGTCTTGTTTCACAATGAATCCATGATTTCGCATTATGGTTTTTCTGCCTGTATGATTTGTGCTAGAGCACATTACTTCTGTTTATGAAAGCTAACCTTGAGAGGGTTTATTCTCAGGGAGCTGGGCTGCACAGTTTTTAATAATATGCATGAACACTAATATATGAAGGAGGAAGAGCAGCTGGAGACATTTCTCTGAAAGACTGACTCATAAAAAATGGATTTGAAAATTCAACAAAGGGGCTCTAGGATTACATATAAATATGAAATGTCTTAAAATGTAGGTTATTAAAGAAAATTGCAGAATCTATTTCTCTGGAGATTCTGAAGAATAGGAGGAAACTTTTCTGCAAGAAGGAGCAGAACCTTCCCAGAAACCTCTCTTAAATACATGATTATAATGTTCCACATATCCAGCACTGAGACTTTTGCAAATCTCCAATGAACGGTGCCTGAAATGACCAAGAGAGTCAAAAAATATAGCTGTCACAAAGTTGAAGTCCTTTACCCCAGTGTTGAGGGTGGAACACTCACTAACTTTCCCACTGGGATACTGCCTTTCAACTTTGTACAAACGATAGACCATTTTACAAGCATGGGTTTTTGTTTGCAATAGCAACATTCAATTGTTTTTCCTTTTCAGTGATCAGAGACTATGCGAGTAATAGGCCAGGGCATGTGGGAATGGTTAAACAGAGAAGAGTTTCTGTACTGCGACTGGGAAGACTAACTGGCTGTTGAATTCTAGAAGGATGGGAAAATCCCCAGCCATTAGGAGAGCCACAGCCATCTGGGGAATCAAGTGAAAAGGTAAGATAAACACATTATCTTGGCAGACCCCCAGTTACAGCTAGATGAGGTCAGAAAGTATGTAATATATTGGGTCGTCAGAAAAGTCATGATGTATTTTTCTGTTGTTCTACGCAAAAATGCATCATGACCTTTCCAACAACCCAATTTTTTGGAAAGATTGCTATTATACCTGGTTGTGCTTCCTAAACTTTGGTGTTTAAAATAAGCTTCAGTTATCTTTTTAGAAAGCATGTATGTGAGCCAGTAGGTAGCATGGTGGTTGAGGTGCTTGATTCCCACATGGCCAACTGCAGTTCAACTCCCAGACCTGGAGTCTTGAAAATCATGTTGGGTGTGATTTTTTGGGATTGCTCCCAAAATTCCAGAGGAAGAATGAAAGAGAAGAGATTGGGATTATGACTGTTGTATGGCCATCACTCCCTGTGGGTGATTTCTCAATCTCCCTCTCTTTGTCTCTCTGTTTCCAATGAGCACAGGTACCCTGTGGCAAAAACCTAAAAAAAGAAAAACAAAGTGACCAAGGCAAGATTCAGTGAGACAGTATCTCTTAAACATTACAAAGTGTTGTGACAATGTGTGTAGCACTAATCTAAGACAGTAATTCTACTGTTGAGCCTGTATATTAAGATAATCTTAAAAATAAAGGGGAAAACTTTGTGGCTAATTATTTGAAGCACTCCTTATATTAAAAATGCAAAGAATTGAAATAACTAACAATAAAAAAACTATTTTTACTGGTCAGAGTTATTGTTTGCAAACGCTGAAAATAGGCAATAGCGCATTAAATAGGAATCCATTGAAAGGATAACTGATAGCACACAAAACTGAAGAAACAAGAGGAGAAAATACAAGTGAGGACAACTATGCAACTGAGAATATAGACAAAATTGCACTCGATAACAGTCAGGTTAGGGTGGGTGTCCAACTGGCCGGTTTGGATACCCCACCATCCCAGTAACTTCCACTCTCTCTGCCCCTTGAGTCATTGTCTCATGACTCGATCTCCAGTTGACTCAGATCTAATTGGCTGAACCTCTTCTCATACTGTGGCTGCCATGAGATAGTGGAGAGTGGATTTGACTTTTCTGACTTTGGTAGTGGGAGGGGAGTTTTGCCTCTACCTATCTTTGGGAGTCTCCAAGGAAAAAAGGATTTTGACACTAGGCAACAAAACATTACAACTTTCGGGACCAGCAGTTAGCGTAATGGCTATGTTGCTGGACTCCCACGTAGTTGACCACGGTTCGAGTCCCAGACCCGGTGGCTTAAACTCACACCGGGCGCGTGTGCGTGTGTGTCCAAGATCCCGAGAGGAGAATGGAGGCGAAGGGATTGCGGCGTGGCCACCCCCCCACCAAGGGGTGATTTCCTGCTTTCTGTCTCTCTGTCTCTGTCTGTCTGGCGAGCGCACACGCCCTATAGCAAAAACCTCTCAAAAAAAAAAGAAAAACAAAACAACATTACAACTTTCTATTAAAGTCCATCTCTCTGGCCTTTGAATATCCTAACATATTCTTCATCCAATTTTCTTTTCTAAAACAAAAATAAATTCTCCCATCAAACAGAATGTAGCAAATAAAAGCAACTTCACCCTGTCTTTTGGAGAAACCAATACAAAATCTTACGATTTAGTGCACTCAGCTCAAAGACCACGGTCTCCAGCTGAGCTCAGTTCCTTTTCCAGTCTGGTACAATTCTGTCTGGATATGCTAAATTTATCATCAAAACTATGAAGTTAGCCACCAATGTACACCAAGTATAGAAGAGTGGATAAAGGAAAGGAAATAAAAAGGAAATTAAGTATGCTCTATAATTAAAGTTTTAAATGTATACAAAATGTGGCATTTTGAGAAACACAGATTGAACCTACAGACTTGATCTCTGTGACTACTTATGAGAACATAACTGGAATCTATGATCTTTCTTTCTGTTTCTACTCATTGCATGTCTCCTCTGCCTTCAGTAAGCACCTCTTTACCTGATAAAGTGACCCAAACCTTCTCTTCTGAAGATTCCGAACCTTTGAAGACCCAGCATTACACAGGTACAATGTTCTTACATTATGTTTTCCCCAGGGATCCGGAGTACAAGGATTGTCTAGGTTCCAGCACACTTTCCCTGCTGCCACTGAATACCAGAAGCTCTATAGCTCTATTTTCCTATGTCAGTATCAATCACTCTAGCAAAATCATAATCCCCTACATTTTATGCCTTTAGCATGAGGAGCCTGAAATAGTTGGGTATTGGTATGTATTCCTATTCAGTGGAACAAGTGTAGTATTATCCAGTAAAAACATACTTCCTTAGAGACCAGAGCCCACAGTCACTGGTATAGAAATCAAAATGTTGCTGGTGAGTCATCTGGATTTAACTGTAAACAGGGTCACATATGTTTTCACTTAGTTCTAGATCCATGTATTCTGTCTATAGGAGATGCCATCAGATTTCATTGTAGAAGGCACCCTTCTGTCTCCTATCTAAGAATAGGATTAAGAATTAAGTAAAATAGGGCAGCCCATGAATCCACATGGTTAAGTGCATGGTTCCAGTCCCAGACCCAGCGGCTTGTAAAACATGCCAAATCGTGTGTGTGTGTGTGTGTGTGTGCCCAAAATTCCAAAGAGAAGTGAAAGGTAGAATGTGACATGATTATCCCCATAGGGGGCTGCTTTCTCACTTACCCTCTCTTCCTGTTCCTCTGTTTCTAGAACATTCCTTCTGACAAAAATTTAAAAATACATATTTTTTAATTAAGTAAATTACATATGTAAAGCACCTATACATAAAGGGCCAACTGATTATATGACTAGAAGATACATTTTAATTCTTTATATGAAATATTTATATGGACTAATGTCCCGACCGGGGGGACAGTCAAACAGGTTCCCTGGGAGAGGGAGTGAGAGATGGGACAAACACACGCGCGCACACACACGCACAGAGTGGAGACAATACGAGGTGCTGATCAAGTCTTCTTCTTCTTCTTCCGTTTATTGAGGAAAAATGGCAAGTTATATACAGGCTGGTGGGCACCGATTGGTTGCCTGAAATGCAAATGAGATAGAACAGCATGAACAAATCATTGGTGTGGGTGGATCTCTCCTGTTGCCTAGAAACCCAAGGACCCCCTCAGGGAGAACAGTTGGTCACATGATTTCTGAGAAATGGTTTGCTCAGTGAGGAAGTGAAGCCTAATGGTTTCCAAGATGGTAGATAGCTCAAGATGGCAGATAGCTCAAGATGGCTTCCGTATGCAGTGCCCTCCACAGACTAACATGCATACATTTTCTTGACCTTTATTATAATTGCTTTCATAGTTTCTAGTTTTAGTGAACTGAAATCCCCATCTACCCAGCACTAGGAGACATTTTGAAGCATGTGGGGAACCCAACATAGAGAAGTCCAGACTGGATTTTGAGCATCTCAAAGATGGGGATAAGTAAGGTATGAATAGGAGAATCACAGTTTGGACTAAGAGTGGTAGCCAGGCCTGTAGAATGAGACTAATAGGGTACAAAAATGAGGGTGAGAACATAGGCCCTAAGACAGTGG